TTACGGAGTCTGATTAGGCTTTTAGTATTCTGATCAAGGTTCAGAGAATTACTCACCCGTCTGGAAGCTGGCACGTGTTGTTCGCGGGCTCGGGATACCGCCTCCTCGACGGCGCACAGAGATCTATCGATGTCATCAGTCGTCTCCAGTAGGGCACCGAAATCGATGGTTTCGTCGACGACTTATTGGAACCGATCCCAGCTTACCCGATGGTAATTCCATGAAATCGGTTAACGGAGGAGCCCACCTCGGCTACAACCGGAAAGTGGTTCGAGCTTAACTCTTGGAAGGCTACCGGTTGGGAGATGTTCTCCATGCTGCTGACGAATGACGAAGAAAACGATTTGGCAAGCCTTTTTATTATCGCTGATTTTCTCCTCCCTTCCTTTCATTTGTGATATTGTGAGCGATCAACCGAGAATTGAGCTCGCTCATGTGAGCATCAGCATGCGCAAAATGTCGTTTGTTCGATTTGCGCTCTATCGTTGCGTCCGTGTTTGGGATTTTTCGTTGCATGTCTGAATTTTGATTTTTTTTAATGTGACCCGCAGTATAGAAATTAAAGACGTAGTCCTACGTCAAAAAAAATCTTGCTTCCTATCAAGTTCAAGATTTTTAAAAACAATTCCTAATTTAATCTCTCCCTCTCAAATTCTTTATAATGACCCATTCAGCCCGATAGCGTTCGGCTATGCGACCTTAAAAAAATACAGGACTTTGATATTTTGTATATTCTGGCGCTTTACAATCATAAGAAGACTCGAGTCTAAAAAACGTTAGTTAAATTGATTCTAAATACCTCGAAAATAACATGATATTGCAATCATTGTTTTTACTAAATATAAAAAAACCGGGAATATTTGGAGATTTTAACCGAGAATTTTTTAATCAAAATTCACTAGCCTATAACTTAAAACAAAAAAGTTAGATTCCTGATTTAAGCTTATCATTTCTATAAAAAGAAGGTACATTTAATTATAAACAACTTTTACGAAGACTATCGCCCTAAAATGAATAGAAACGTGGAAAATTATTAACTCCTGCTAAATTGCACATTGTACATCAGATGTCAGAATATTGTGTATTCAGGATAGGGGAAAGTGGGGCAGTTTGGCCACCTTAAGGAAATCATAATTCAGTGGAAAATTCGAATGATTTTAACAAAATTTATAGTTTTAAGCCCTATTTACACACTAAGATGATTTTACAGATATCTGTAAAATTTTACCGAAATCTCAACAGCTGAACGTTCGGTAAACAATTTTACAGTTTTCCTGTAATTATTTACAGATATCTGTGAAAAATTCACAGATATTTGTGAAAAATTGCAGGAAATCTGCAAAACTGTTTACCGAACGTTCAGCTGTTGAGATTTCGGTAAAATTTTACAGATTTCTGTAAAAAATTGTAAGTGTGTACATCATTATCACAAATTGATCATATTGATACATATTAGAGTGGGTCATCGGTATATGGAAAAACGCAAACTTTACCTCACCAATCGAGAACAACCCTTTTTTGGTTCCATTTGTAGCTCCAAACAACTGTGCAAAATTTGGGGACGGCTTTCCGCATTGCGTTTGAAATTTGTATGAAAATTATTATGGAAAAACCAACTATTTTGCATTTTTATCCCTAGAGACCACAATTTTGCATGCAACTAAGTTAGTATAAATATAATCCAGAAAGTGCCTAACAACTTTGCCAAAGAAAGTACGGTGCTAGAATGTATCTAATAAAAGTAATAACTATTCAAATCACCAAAAATCTCTTTTTCTGCCAACACTGCCGGTGTACCAATGGGAGTCAGATTCCAAACTGAAAAAAATTTCGGAGTTTCTTATCTTGCGATTTGGTATGCTCAGACAAATTATTCAAAAACAATTGCTCTATCTCATATGGCATCACTCATATCACTAGAAGTGAAGCTTCGAACTGACATAACTTCAGAGTTTCTTATCTTATCGATTTGGTATGTTCAGATGAATTATTCAAAAACATTTGCTCAATCCCATAAGCGTAGTTAGAGAGCGGGGTGGGGGCTTACTATATGCAGTTTTTCAAACGAAAATTGTTGTAGTGTATATATTTAATATCCACTTGTCCGTTCATTTGTTAGTGAGGAGATGTTGTTTGAATTATTAGTCCAACTGCTATATTATTTCTTTATAAAGCTTTTGTTTGAAATATTAAACTGCCAATCGGGCCACCCGCATATAGAAAACACAGAAGTAGTCGTACGGCAAAAAGCAAAAACAGGAGAAGACGTAAACTGTCTTCACCAGTTTCGTCTGAGACATTGGTACATTCGGATTTCGCTTGTTGGGCTAACTTTAAGTGGGCTACATTTCAGTTGGGTTCTCAAGTCAAACGTCATTTCTAACAGTGTTGATTCATTTTCGAAATTTCGATCGGCTACATGCAAAAACCGGCAAACGAGTGGAGTACAACGAGTTGCTTCCTTGATGGTTGCCAACGATATGGCCGAATGAGGAGTGAAGCTAATTTCTGACTTATCAAGAGATCCACCCGAGACCTAGTTCAACAGAAATATTTGCTTCAAGGGATAGAACAGCATCGAAAAAAGTACCCTGAGAAATCGTGGAATATATTAAAATGAAATATAATTGTTACAATCCAATGACATTTGTGTGAATGTATCTGACATTGTATATTGCACCAAAAGAGTAGGGAAGGGAATGGAGGTAATCGCTTTTATGAGATTGAGATTGATTTTTGAATAACCCATTCGAACAACTCGAGAGATGGGAAATTTCGAAGTTATATTAGTCTTTATCTTTACTTTCATTGATATAAATGAGGGCCAAAAAGCATACAGTAAGCCCCCCATATCTAACTACGCCTATTAAATGGAACACATGTTTTTGAATACATCTGAACATACCAACTTGACAAGATCAAAAACACCGAAGTTATTGCATTTTGAAGCTTTACTTATGAGTGAGGAGGGCGAGATGAGATTGAAAAATTGTTTGTGAATAATTTCTGAACATACCAAATCGATAAGATAAGAAACACCGAAGTTATTTCAGTTTGGAGTTTGACTTTGATTGGTACACCGGCAGTGTTGGCAGTAAAAGAGATTTTTGGCATTTAATACGAAACATTGATCTTTGAACAGCTATAACTTTTTTTAGGGGCATTCTAGCACCACACATCTTTCAACAAAGTTGTTAGGCACTTCCTGGGTCATACTTTAACGTATTTAGATTCGTGTAACTGTGGTCCCTAGCAATAAAGATGCAAAAAATGAGGTTTTCCCATACTAATTTACATACCAATTTCAAACGCAATGCGGTAAACCGGGTTACAACCCGTAGCCTTCCCCCCCCCCCACACATGCCAAATTTGGTTCCATTTGCTTCATTAGTTCTCGAGTTACGCAAAAATTTCTGTTTCATTTGTATGGGAGCCCTCCTTTAAAGAGGGGGAGGGGTCTCAAACTATCATAAGAACCTTATCCTGCCCCAAAAACCCCTGCATACAAATTTTCACGCCGATCGGTTCAGTAGTTTCCGAGTCTATAAGGGTCAGACAGACAGACAGAAATTCATTTATATATATTTACAAGTTTATTTATAATTATACTCACCAATTATCAACATCTTTCTAACCTTCTTGGTTATTGAAGTCGTAAAATTAAATTTCCAATATCCTTCCCATAGATGGCTAATTTAATTTCCAAGATATTTATTCAATCAACACTGTCAATAACAGCACACACCCACCAGTCTGACCTTCAGACTGCGCCACATGAAAAATTCACATCGCCTCCAACGCTCATACAAAACCCCACCAAGACACGTGTGAGGACAAACTTCGTTAGAAGCAATCTGTAGAGGCAACGTTTTTCCTTTATCCTTCCCAGCACAGACGGCAAACACAAAGCTGTAAAACATCCAACAACCCCCATGTACTCAAACCATTCTGTATCGCATCTCTCCATCGAGAAGTACAATATTTTACACGCACTTTTCACGGCTGGAATACTTGGTTTTCCTTGCTCAACACTCCGAGAGCCATTCATAGACAAAACACAATCTCCTAGTACATTGTGAGTAAACTGTTGAAAGTTCCATACACAACAGAGCAAACTACATCATGATTGCTCATTCTTCCCCCCCAAACCGTGCAACAATGTACATAATTTTCAAGGAAGTGGTGGTGCAGGACTACCAAGGTACGTAGCAAATTCGCTACATCATCCCGCACAGACAGACGCCCATCACAGGACAACGGCAACGAACGGTTCCATTTGCTCTCCGGAACAAAGCGCCGGCATACACACCCTTTGTGCTGCGCTACACTTTGAGCCAGGAGCCACACCACCACTATCCGTCTCTCATGGTCCTACCGGAAATGAGAAAGCATCCAAAGTGTTTTTCTTGGTAAACTATATAGTTTACTCCGCGTAGTCGACGCTCGCTGAGTAAAATAAGAAATAATCGTTAATTATGTTTGATTTTCCCTTCAACAAAGGCGATGACGAATCGCGAAGCTTTGTGATGCCGAAGACTGAGCTTCATACATGCATTGTGGCCATGAACAGGGATCGCCGCGACAACAAGGACACTATCTGACGCTATGTTGGCTAGGAATGAGTCTTGAGCTTCCCGCTAGCAATGAAAATGAATTGGGGTGGATTTATATCCGACTAAACAAAGGCAAGGTCGAAGAGCTTTGTTGCTGCTAGAGCTATAGATGGTATTTACGGACGTCTGGTATCATGTTTCCTAGCCGGGCAGACAAAGAAGACCTTCCAGAGTCGTCGATGTATACCTTCACACTTGATAAATGGGCGCTCGGAAAAGTATGATATCTTTGTGATGATTTTAATTGCGGTTAAATGTTCGGATTAGGAAACTTTCCAGACTGAGACTTAAGTCTCCCACCTTGATAGGTAGTTTATCGAATCGATAATAGCAAAACACCATGTAGAATATTTTCCTTAACTTGTCGAATCAATTCGCAACCACTAGCTACGTCATTACAGAACTGCTACAGTCGGATCTGCACAAAATCATCGTTTCACCACAGCACCTCTCGGCGGACCATATCAAAGTGTTCCTGTACCAGATCCTGCGTGGTCTCAAGTATCTGCACTCAGCCCGTATCCTTCATCGGGATATCAAACCAGGCAACCTGCTGGTGAACAGCAATTGTGTTCTCAAGGTGAGACTGCTTTCGCGTGCAATGATTTGGTTTATCTTCAATTACACCAAAAACCCTTACTATTTCAGATTTGTGATTTCGGTTTGGCACGCGTGGAAGAGCCGGACCAGTCCAAGCACATGACACAGGAAGTGGTAACGCAGTACTACCGCGCACCGGAGATCCTAATGGGAGCACGGCACTACTCGGCGGCCGTGGACGTCTGGTCGGTTGGGTGCATATTCGGAGAACTGCTCGGCAGGAGGATCCTCTTCCAGGCACAGAGCCCAGTGCAGCAGGTGAGTGAACCGTAGTTCATTGCCATTGGTGGATGGAATCGCAGCCTTTGTTTATGGTTTGTAAAAGAAACAGCATTGTAGTTTTTATTACAATCCTTAAACGAGTTAATATTTTTTTTAAATATCTATTTTTTTTACGTTTCATAAAGTAGTGTTCGTGAACGTATTTGCAAGTACCTATTTTCTCCAGTTTGACTCACAACCAAAAATATGAGTATTTGCATAAAATGGTAAAGAGTGATGAAGTTTTAGAGGTCACGCAAAAAATCGAAGTTTGTATGGGGATAGTTACTAAATTGAAAAAAATAATTAGGTATTGCTCCAACTAGTAGTTCAAACGCTGCAAAAATTAAATATGTGGCTGCTATAACCATGACCAATAAGCCTGTTGATATTATAGTCAGTTTGGTAGGAAGATGAAAATGTAAAAAAATGACAAAATAAGGACAGTTTAGTTTGAAACACGGACACCAAAAAATGTCCATAACTTTTTAATTTTACGCTGTATCCGCATGTTTATTCGGCTTATTTGGATCAAGTTTGTATGACGGATCACAACCCCCTTCTCCCCATGTCACTTTCGTCCCCAACAACTGAGCCAAATTTGAACGAAATTGGTTATGATCTGGATTTTCGAGAGAACTTTAATATTTGTATGGGGAAATGTATGGGAACCGGAACAAATCTATTGACTTGCTTGCCAAAAAATCAAAAATTGCTCAATTTTCACCAAACATGGGACATAGATTGGGAAAACTATGCAGAACAGCTTTGTGGAAGAAAAGGCTTTTTCATTTTGTTTCCATGATATCCTCATACACCTTTAAGCCTTAGGTGTAAAGTTGTGTTGACTGAGTTAAAATCCAGTGGTGTAGTGGTAAGCGTGATTGCCTCTAACCCCAACAGGCCTGGGTTCAATCCCAGTCGGCGCCCCCGGGATGTTCTGAGGCATAACATTTCTGATCACGCCTTCCTTCGGATGGGAAGTAAAGTCGTTGGTTGCCGGTTCATGAGTTGATGGGTCGATAGGTAGGGTCCAGGTGTGGGAGCTGCCTCTCTTGTGTCGATAGCATTGGTGCTCAGCACGGAAAACAAGATCGACGGAAAACAAATCAAGGAAAAAAATGTGTATTTTTAATTCAAATTTAATTAAATCTGCCATTAAAAAGCTTAAAATTAAAAGATTAGAACGTATCAGTGGTGGTATGGTAAATTTAGAGCTAGTAAGTCACTGGTTTTTATATGTGCCTCTTTAAGAAGTGCCCATAATTTTAATTTCAGAATGTACACATAATTTAGTTCTCTTTTATTATAAAACTAGGATAAACAAGACTTCCCTGAAGATCTTGGAACTTTACTGAAGTTTTCGGAAATTCCCAGAGTTCCTTGTAACTTTTGTAAAGATCTGCAATTTAATTAAACTGCCCTGAGGGTATCTGATTTTTCTTGATGTTCCCGAACTTCTCCATAAGTTCTTGGTACTGCCTGTAATTAATAGAAATGTCCTTTAATATCTTACCTTCCCTGAAAATCTCTAGACTGCTGTTAAAACTATTCATATGTTTATAACTTTCTAAAATTTGTATTATTAATATTCATTTGTTTAAAACTTTCTAAAATTTTCAGGAATTTTGTGGAATTCTCTGAGATTTTTGGAATTTCGTAAAGGTTCTCTAAATTTTTATGACGTTGACGTTCCTGAAGTTATTGGGACTGCTCTTAAGATCTCTGAGCTTCCCTGAATATCGGTAGACCTAGCCTCCCAGAAGTTCTTTGAACTTCAATAACGTTTCCACAAGTTCTCTGAACTGAAAAGTAATTCATTAAAGTTCCTGCAGTTTCCCTGAAGCTAATGGAACCACCGTGGAGTTCGCAAAGCTTCCTTAAAGTACCCGGATTTTTTTAGAAGTTTCCTTACTATAGCGCAGTCTGATTCGTTCATCGGAACTACGTAAAAGTTCCCACAATTTTTGTGGATCACTCTACAGTTTTCTAATCTTTTCTGAAGTTCTTGCTACTATACTGATGATGTTCCAGGAATTGCCCTGAAATTTATAAAACTGTCATAAAGATCTCTAAACCTTCCAAAGTTTTCTAGAGTTCCGTGAATTTCCCGGATCATATGTGATGCTTCCTAAATTTTCCTAAAGTTCTCTAAACTTCCCTGATGTTCTCTAGACTATCATTAATTTTGCGATGTTCTTGAATGATCATGCTAGTTTCCTGATAATCATGAAACTTCCCTGAGTTCTCAGAACTGTGCGAAGTTACTTAGCTTCCCTTAAGATGTGAAACTTTCCTGAAGTTAATGGAACTGCCCTGAAGCTCTTTAATCTTCACTGAAATTCTAGAAATTTTTCTGCAATCTATGGAACTGCTCTGAAGCTATCGAAACTTACGCTAAAAGATATTAAGCCTTCCATGTTGATCTGGACGTTTTTAAAGTTCTTAGAACCACCCTAAAGTTTTTATGAATTTCCTTTAAATTCTTGTGATTTCCATGTCATTCTCAGAACTTCTTGAAGGTTCCCTCAATGTTATTTTAATTTCAGTTAGGGTAGAGCGCTACTTCGTCGTAATTGCCCATTTCCGTTCTATCGATCAGAAAAGATCAATAATATCAATGATTTCACCGTGCACAAATCAATAATAGGTTTGTTCCGATGCGTTAGTTCATTAGCTACAATATAAATCCTGTAAGAGCGCATTGTATGAATATTTACGTTCATTGTTCTCTAAACAAAAGAAGCGCTCCAAGCGAATCCCCTTTTTCTACGTTTATCCGTAGGACGAAGAAAATCTAATGGCGTTTAAATGCGTTTGGACGGAATTGAAGCTCGTAGGATGGATTTAGAATCAAGAAGCAGTATTAGATTTTAAACAATATCTCAACAATTTGTGACTCTTTATCAAATCCAACGGTACGTATGGAAAGGTGATTAAATTTAGAAGTCATCTCTGAAAGAAATATTGCATTTTTTGTTCAAACTCGTTCAAAACAGATAGGTAAAGCGCGGGTTGTGCTTAGTAGGACGGAAATTAGATCAAAAACCCTATCAGAATTTTAATGAAGATAATCGAACGAATTATCCTAAAATATTAAGAACTTTCTTCAAGTTTCTACACCATTTCGGATGTTCGTGAAACTGCGTTGAAGTTCTCAGAACTTTTCCGAAGCGCTCTCAACTTTCCCAATATTCTTTGAACTAACCTAAAGTTTTCTAAAGTTTCTTGAATTTCTTGAAAAGTTCTTGAAATTTACATGATGCTAATGGTACAGTTTCATAAAATTCATGGAGCGGCACTGAACTTCTCAGAACTGACCCTTAAATATTTTTAGATTTCCGAAGCTCTGAACTTTCTTTTAGTTCTCGAAAGTTTTCTGAATGTATCCGATACTCCCTAAAGTTTCCAAAATTTATCTATAGAACTCTATTTTTTTTCTTTATTAACGAGACTTTCAGCCTTAGGCTGGTTCATCTCTACCCTATAGAACTCTAAAGTCTGGAGTTCCTTGTATTTCTCTGAACTTCTATAAAGTTCCCGTAATTTTCTTGAAATAGGGGTACACGGGGCAAGATGGCCACCCTATGGTTGACACCATTTTTATATGCAGTAATTACAATTTATTAATACATTCAAATATTGCCTACCCTAGTTCTTTCATGTCTGTTCTGTTTCTCAGAAAGAGATTTCCTTAGTTAGAAAGGCTGGGAATTCCAGAAGGGAACTCCCCAAATTTCATATATAAGGGACCATCGAGTAGGGAATATATCGAGTTATTGTGGTAAATTTTGGAAATTTCAAGCAGCCTGGATTTACCTCTAGTTAGGGCTGTTCAAAAATTACGTAACGCAAAAAATAAAGTTTCATACTCCCACCTGTAACCAAACATAATACATTACCAATACCCTTCCTCCCCCAGGTGTAACGCGTAACAATGAAACTTGTTCAAGTATGAGACACATAATTCGCATTTATAATTGCAACACCACCTTTATTAACTGGAAACTGTTTGAAGCAAATCTTAAAAATAATTTGGAATAATTACAAGTTAGTTACTATAGCGCAGAAAGGCTTCGAAATTGATAAAAGTTTGTCTCTAAACCTTTCAAAGTCTCCCTTTAAAAATATCAGATCCTGTATCTTGGATTGGCTTGTGAAAAAAATAAATGTCTACATCTGAATTAGCTTGTTAATTCTCCTGGAATTCTTTATAGGATTTTTTCTAAATTTTCTGTAGAATTTCCAAAAAAACATTTCAGAACTTTTTTTTTGATTTTTATTCTTTTATAGTATTTTACATCACTTAAAGTGATGATCAGAGGATACATTTAATTCCTCTTAAAGTCCTCCTTGGCATTTAATTGAAATTTATCAAAGAATTCTCTTGAAATCATCTACAGAATTGCACTCAGAATTCGATTCGTTTGAAATTCTTCTCAGGATTCTTTTAAAATTCCCTGTAAGTGGTCCTTGAAACTCGTTTAGTCTTCGTCAGAACTCCATTCACATTCTTCTTGAAATTTCAATGAAAATCTCTTCTCAATTCCCTGTGTAGACAGGGCTGATAGCAGGTCACTTTTTACTGACTAGGTCAATATTTTCATGTCAGTCACTAAAAAGTCACTTTTTTTCACCAAAAAGTTACTAAAGCCACTTTTTCTAAAACTTAGTCATTAAAGTCACTTTTTATGACCAATGTTGTAAAAAATTTTAAATTAAAAAAAATCACATCAAATCACAGCTTGATTTGGTAACAAATGTGTAGAATCAGCGTCTTTAAATCTTTAAAATGTGCTTTTTTCGTTATTGAAAATTTTAATTGTTTTTTTTTACGAAAATTCATGTTTTTTTTTTTCAGTGTGTATTTTTCTCAATGAGTAATCCAGTTTCTTACAATTTCATTTCGATTAGATGAGCCGTTTTCGTACTTGGTCACTTTTTTCAAGCCATTCACTAAAAAGTCTCCTTTTTTAATGCCAAGCCATCAAGATATTTTTAGATAGTTTCATGATATTTGGAGAAGTTCTGCGTACTTCGAGGACGATCTGAAAGCTTCAGAAAAATCCCATTAACTTAAGAAAATTAGCAGTGACTGACAAGGAGTTCCATGGAATTATGGGGTATTCCAAGAATTCTATGATTGATCGGAAAACGTCAGAAGCGTCAGGGAATTCTGAATATATATCAGAAAAATTGCCGGATTATTGAAAAAAAATAAGAGAACTTCAGGTAAACATATATAAGTCCAGGGAAAATTAGTGAGCGTTAATAATGGTTATAAAACTTAAGGAAAATTGTCGAAACTTCAAGGGAAATCAATTAATTTCAGTAAAGTTGCGGGTTCTTAAAAATACTGATAAATTCAGGGCAGACTAGAGAACTTTAAAGAAATTCAGTAATCGTTTAGGCAGTTTTAATAACACCAGGACAGTCTAGACTATTGAAGAAGTTTTAAATTAGTGTCGATAATTTAAGGGCTGTTCCATGAACTTCAGAAAAATCTTGAGAATTTCAGTGAAAATCATAGAATTATATTAATTATTTCGTTCTAATTCTATGAAAATTACGGAAGCACAAAAGTTCCAGAAATTTAGAAAAACTTCGAAAACTTTACAGAAGCACAGTAGTGTTTAGAAACATTTCGAGGACTTCTTTGACATGTATGGAGCTTACGAGGAGATCCGCGAACTTTTTTATGAACAGTAGAAAAATTCGGGAGCATCCCAAAAGTGGAAGAATCACAGGGGGAGGTCAGTTCCATTAGTTTCTGAAAATTAGTGGGAAATTTAAAGCAGCTTCTAGATTTTCAGATAACTTCAGAAACGTTAAAAAGTTAATTGAGGTCTTCGCATAAGTTCAGAAGTTCACTGAAGCTTAAACATTTTTAGAATCGTTCAATCAAATTCAGCGCAGTACAACTGAGAACTGTAAAAACTTTAGAGAAGTTTTGATAATTTCAGAAAAGAATACAGAACCTCAGAGCAGTTCCGTTAAGTTCAGGGAAGTTTGAGAATTTGATGAGAAGTATTGTGAGCATCAGGCTAGTTTCTCAAACTACAAAAGAACTTCAAGGCAGTTTCATTAACTTCAGGAAAAATTTAGGAACTTTCAAGTAAGATTTCCATTGAAATATTCCTCAAAATTTCGATGAAGCTATGCCCCGATTTTTTTTTTTTAGTTTTCCTCCGTATTACCTTGAAATTCTCCACAATATAAACCCTTTGGAAAGATTCTCCGAATATTCATTGAATTCATTTCCGATTTCCTTTTGAATCTCACTCCTTCCCTTGGCATTCTACTCACATTGAAAGTTTCCTAAGAATTCATCGGCATTTCTCCGCACAAATTCCTTCGATTGCTTCTCATAATTTGTTTGGCAAACTCTCCTGAATTTATTTTTCGAATTCTTTTGAAGATGTTCTGGAGTTATTCTCAGATTTAAATGTAATCCTCCTTTTAGTATTTTACAACAAATTCCAGGGACTTATGCTCCGGATTCGTTTTCTACCACAAGCTTTATTAAATTAACCTCAGAATACCCTTGCAATTTTCCTCTGAAGTTCACAGGAGTTGTGCTCCTCAGAAATTCCTAAAAGTTTTCATTAAAATTTACTTTTAATTCAATTCAGGGTTTCTTGAAATTCTACTCAAAATTATAAGGCTGCACATGAAATCTAAAATTACTCAGAACTACCTTGAAAGCAGATAGCAGAAAATTTCTGGAGAGTGATAAAAAATATATGAACATCGGGAAAACGTGAGAGTACTTTAAGGGTGTTATATCATAGAGATTTGAGAGAACTTAAAAAAATGCAAAAAAATTAGCTAAGTTGATTAGAGAACATCAACGAAGTTCCATTGATAAAAAAAAGCGAGAACTTTTAGCAAGCAGCGATATCTTCAATAAATTCCAGAGAACTTCTAATAATTTTTGATATTTTTAAATAGTTTTATGATATTTAGCGAAGTTCCGAGTACTTCGAGGACGATCAGATAGCTTCAGAATAATCCCATTAACTTAAGCAAATTTGCAGCGACTTACAAGGAGTTCCATGGAATTGGGGAGTATTTCAAGAATTTTATGATTGATCCAAAAACATCAGAAGCGTCAGGGAATTATGAAAATACATTAGAAAATTTGCCGGATTCTTAAACAAATTTATAGAACTACAGGTAAGCAGGTTCTTAAAAAATACTGATCAATTCAGGGCAGTCTAGCGAACTTTAAAAAAATTCAGCAATCAGTTTTAATAACACCATTAAAGTCTAGACTATTGAAGAAGTTTTAATTTAGTGTCGATAATTTAATGGAACTTTCATGAACTTCAGAAAAATCTTGAGAACTTCAGTGAAAATCATACAAATATATTAATTATTTCGTTCGAATTCCATGCAAATTGCGGGAGCACAAAAGTTCGAGAAATTTAGAAAAACTTCGAAAACTTCAAAGAAGGACAGTTGTCTTCAGAAACATTTCGAGAACTTCGTGGGGCTTAAGGGGAGATCCGCAAACTTCAGGATTTTTTTTTAAGAACATTAGCAAAATGCAGGAGCATTTGAAAGAAGTTTAGTTAGCTCCGAAAATTGGAGGAATTTCAGGGAGAGGTCAGTTCGTTTTGAGAAATTCAGAAAAGAACAGAGAACCTCAGAGCAGTTCCGTTAATATTAGAGAAGTCACATAAACTTTAAAGAAGTTTAGTTCTCTAGCGAATTGTTAAACCTTTAGAGGAGAGCCATGATCATTGAAAAAATTAGGAAACTTTAGGAAGTCATAAAAAATTCAGGGAAGTTTGAGAATTTGATGAGTAGTATTGTGAGGCTCAGACTAGTTTCTCAAACTATAAAAGAATTTTAAGGCAATTTCATGACCTTCAGGAAAAATTTGGGAACTTTCAAGTAGTTCTGAAAACCTCAGAATAGTCCAGATTTCCATTGAAATATTCCTCAAAATTTTGGTGAAGCTATCCTCCGAATTCAATTTTCTTTTAGTTTTCCTTGGAATTACCTTAAAATTCTCCACAATAAGAAACCCTTTGGAAAGATTCTTCGAATATTCATTAAATTCACTTCATATTTTCTTTTCAATCTCACTCCTTCCCTTGCAATTCTACTCACATTGAAAGTCTCCTAAGAATTCATTGGCATTTCTCCTCACAAATTTCTTCGATTTCTTCTCATAATTTGTTTGGCAAACTCTCGTGTATTCATTTTCCGAATTCCTTTGAAAATGTTCTGGAGTTATTCTCAGATTTTAATGTAATCCTCCTTTTAGTATTTTCAAAAAAAGAAATTCCCAGGACTTATGCTCCAAATTCGTTTTCTCCCACAAACTTTATTAAATTATGCTCAGAATGCCCTTGGAATTTTCCTCTGAAGCAAGAATTCCTAAGAGTTTTCATTAAAATTAATTTTTAGGTCACTTTTTAGTCACTATTTTTACAACTATAAGTCACTATTTGGTCACTTATTTCATCAACATGGTCACTTAAATCACTATTTTTAACAGCAGTGATTGCTACCAGCCCTGATCTTCCAAAATTATACAATCCGTGACATATACAATAATTTCGAAAACTTTTATTAAAAGTTTGGTTCGGTTTTGGAAAATAATATAAATTGAGTTGGTTGCAAATGCTTGCTAATTTAGGTTTAGTGTGATAATGTATTAGCTAGAGAAAGTTCTGAAAAGGGGTACTACGCCTTTTTTAACACCTTGCTATGTCTTCTGAATACCTATGTTATACACACTTAGAAATTATCGCCGACTTCGGTAATTTTTACCGAAATCTGAACAGCTTAACTGTTCGGTAAAATTTATGCAATTTAATTCAATTGCTTTTCAGTTACTTTGAAACTAAATCTATACTAAAATGACAAGATTTGATCGTTCAAACAAGGTTGAACATGTTTTGAAATTCTTCTTTAATTCACTGGACTTTAAAATAAAGGTCAAAGTTTTACCGAACGTTTAGATGTTCTGATTTCGGTAAAATTTACCGAACACGAAAACAAAATCTAAGTGTGTATGTTAATTGTTGTAACGAAAATTCGTGTAAACAAAACTCTGTATTAAGGGAACCCCTTCTGGACCTCCCGAAGTGTGTGGGCCTTCTGCCTTCACCCCTTTTTGTTGAACCTCGACTAAGTGATAAACCATGGCTGAAAATCAATTTAATAAAGTTTAAAAAAAAAAACTTACCACTATTTCCCAGATTAAAGCACAATACACTGTTGCTTTTTTTGTCAACGCTGTTAATCGGTTATAAATTATTATTTTTTACATAATCCCATTACTCCGATTGCCCTGCTGATTAATTTCCATTATTCCATCTCTCGCCCACATGCACACAGCTGGAACTGATCACAGAGCTGCTGGGCACGCCCACGCTAGAGGACATGCGACACGCCTGCGAGGGAGCCAGAACACATATGCTCCGAAGGGCCCCAAAGCCTCCATCCCTGTCTGCACTGTACACCCTAAGTACGCATGCCACCCACGAAGCAGTGCACCTACTCTGCCAGATGCTGGTCTTCGACCCGGTAAGACTGTTCATGCCACACATAAAAGCCAGTCGACCTCATTCGTTCTCATTATCGTTCCAGGACAAGAGAATATCGGTGATTGATGCCCTGGCGCATCCCTACGTCGACGAGGGCCGACTTCGTTACCATTCCTGTATGTGCAAGTGCTGCTACACTCCGTCGGCCGGTATGCGCCAGTATGCGGCCGAATTCGAACCCTCGGCACCGCAACCGTTCGATGACCTCTGGGAACGGAAACTGACCTCGGTGCAGCAAGTCAAAGGTAATAGGCAAAATCTAAAAAAAAAATAGTTACTCAACTTTTAATCGGCAGATTTAAACTAATTACTCCTTTCTTCGTCCGTTTCTTTTCGTCCCAACAGAGGAAATGCACAAATTCATAGCCGAACAACTGCAAACGAATCGCGTGCCACTGTGTATAAATCCTCAGAGCGCCGCATTTAAGAGCTTTGCCAGGTAAGAGATCCGAATGCCTCCGCGGTAGTTGTTGAACGGACAATTTTCCCCTATCGTGCCCTCTTTGTTTTGGGTTTTTGTATTCTCGCTCTTTCTCTATATAAATACATACGGCTCGCTCGCGAATTAAGATAAGCGCCTTAGTTTGAAAAGAATGATGATAAAAAAAAATAGAACACGAGCAAATTGCAGGGAAAAAGGTCGAATCGGTGATTAAGCACATAATAATCTTCAGCGTAGAGGACGATAGTAAAAACGGGAAAATAAACTAGTAGACAGGAGGTTAGGCGCCACGCTAAATTTCCATACATCTAGTTTTCCATTGGCTTTCAGTTTTTGTACATGTTTTATTATGGTTTTTGAATTTTCTTTTTGCCATGTTCGACTAAAAACAATCAGTCCTATTTTATGTTATTATTCAAATAGACTAGCTAAAAGTTGCACATTTGGTCTTATTTTTTTTTTCTCGAGAAAGTATATCCACAGCAAAGCTATCAAGTGTGCAACTATTGGCAAATGTTTTCCTATTGATCCCCATTCAACCTGATCATATCAATATTTCGCATTTCTCGCTCAAAATGACTGAAATTCCCCCCGTATTAGTATCGTCAACAACAGCAATAACAATCATCCGACGTCACCATCATCCAATTATCATCAACAGTAGCTCTAATTAGAGGAAGAGAGTGAAATTTGCTAGGCGACAATGTGATATAGTACAGACAGGATAAAACAATAGGACTGCCAGCCATCGAACCTTCGCACAGAAATTCATTCCTGCTAGGCCTCTCCCAGTTCTACCACAAGCTGCTAGTGTTAAGCCTTTGAACACGCGCTGCGGACAGTTTGCGCCCTAGGTGTGTCCGATTTTGTTATTTTTATCCTAGTCTTACACAATTTTCCCCCTCCATCCTCGAGTTTTGACCCGCGCCTCATAAGTGTACTAGTGTTTAATTTTGTAAATTACTTCCGTTCATAATTCTTCACTACCCATATATTTACCTTTTTAATCCACACATATATTTTAAGTCATCGTTCTTCACATATGTATTTTCCTAGAGCACCCCCAAGTGATGTTGCCTTATGTGAGGGGCATGTCTGTCTATAGAGCATTTTCCCTAATCAAGTCGGTACCCGTTTCACCAGAACGCTTTCTAATTACTTACACCCACACCAACAAAAAAAAATGCGATAATAATATCCTTGCTGAAACGCGCGTATAATCATACCCAACTAACACGGGACTTTTCATTGCAGCTTTTCACGACAGTCGATGCTACAGCAGCAAGCTCAAGCACAGCGTCAACGGCGACAGCAGCAGCAACAGCAGCAACGGGTAGCGTGAAGGATATAAATTACTATTGATTCGGATACTGGACACGCTGCTCATTGCATTGATTCATAATTTTGCACTTCCCTCAACACTATTTCTCACTTGGTTGCTGCTGTTGTTGCTACTGACGGTGCAGGTGCAACGTTGCTAGCAAGTTATATATTCTAATGGACACGACGACCGACTCGGATGGACGCAAAGACACACAGACGGACTGACTGGCCGACATTGTAAACCCAATAGACAGACATTCGAAGCTGTACTTCGAAGCAGATGTACCTGATGGAATTTCTTCGAACTTTTATAGGAAGCATTTCATCAACACTTGGGTAAATGGATACATAAATTGGGTCGTGGTTGTGATCGTCTGGTTGTATGGAACATAGGGTAGAACCCTTCTTTGGCATTTCCGCCATATCGGGCAGAACATCAACTAGGGGAAATGGATGTAATGTCGACCTAAATGGCCCTAATTTGGCCCCATACATAAATTCAGCAAACGACGAAATTTTCAATAGCGACCAAAAATATCCATTAGTACCGTCCCAATGACGCGTTCATCTAGATAAAATTGATACATAGCAGACGATGGGCCCAATCTTAGATCCATAGGCCAACATTACAGCCATTTCCCCTATATCAGATATTTCGATGTGAATGAATCAATCATACGTTTGATACGATAGTTTAGTTCTAAAGCTACAAACCAGCGAATTCATTTGTGCTGTCTTCATTCGTATGCCGAAGTGAATCCAATGACGTTTCAGAGTTTAAATTGTAAAAACAAATCAACAATTTATAACAATATATACACTAGTGTAAATTAACATAAGGACATTTTAAAAAGCATGGCTCCTCCCAATTTTAAGAATCAGAGGAATTCTAAATCAATCGTATCAAAAGGCTATGTTTGCCGGCGCCGGTGGTGTAGTGGTAAGCGTGACTGCTTTCTAACACCCCAATGGGTCTGGGTTCAATCCCAGCCGAGGTCGGTGAGATTTTTCTGAGGCATAAAAATCTCTGGTCACGTCTTCCTTAGGATGGGAAGTAAAGCCATTGGTCCCGGCCCATGTGTGTTGTGACTGGGTGCGATATCCTACGCAGGTGTAGAAGCTGCCTTCCTGCACATTCGGTTGCCGTCAATGGATGGCAATCGATGTCCGTTGGTGATTGGCACTAGATTGCGGAACAGAGACCGACGTTAAATAAAGGAAAAAAAAAGGCTATGTTTATAAACAAGCATTAATCGATTTCACTCGATTATATAAGATAACATGAAAAGGAAAAGAAAAACTCTTACATAGGGTAGAGAACTACTTCGGCCTAATCGCCCATTATGGGCCTATCGAGCAGAAAACATCAAATAAATCCATGATTTCAGAGTTAACAAGTCGATTATGGGTTTGGTACGATACTTTAGTTAATAATCTACCGAGCTAAGTCATGAGAACGCGTGGTATGAAGGTTTGCACCCATAATTCACAAAAAAAAACAAAAGAAGCACTCCGACCGAATCAATTTTTATCTTCATCCGATAGGCCGAAGTGAATTCATTGGCGTTTCAATGCGTTGGGCCGAGTTTAGAATCCGTAGGCCGAGTTTGGCATCAAGAAGCAGTGTTAGACTTTTGACAATATCTCAACGATTGGTTTCTCTTTATCAAATTGTCCGCTCACGGACACTGAAAATGGTGTGGGAAATCCTCGGCTCGGAGGATCCCAGCTGTACGGCCAATTCCCACTTCAAGGGGAATACCAAAGGCATGGATGGGGTTTACGAAATGCTCGACTTGCAGGGATTATCCTATTGTGAGCCTTGAGAAAGGCTGATTGTTTTCGGCTTGTCACGGAAAAGGAGAATGCGTATTTGTTTAGTTTAAACTTTGTATTTGATGATCCGTTCGATACAATGGTTGGTACACGTGTGTGCGCTTTGCGCGAAAGGTGGCTACTTTTATATGATAAATTCTTCTTCTTTTTCTCTTCTTTTGCTATCGTGGCTGCTGTGCTATGCTATGAAATCCTTCTAGTGGGAGGAGCCAAAGCTTACGTCAACATGCTCACTTTCGGTAGTGGTGCGTGTGTTGAAGTGGAAAAGGGTTGAAGTTAGTGGGGTGACCGATTACCCGCGGTCGGCTCGGGGTTAATGGATGGGACTTTGCCAGGCGAAGAACGGGGATCAATCTAATCAGCACTATAAAGAATGAATACAAGAAAATCACACAAAACGTTCGCCTCGTGCGCGAACACAAATCTTACCGTACGTACAGAAAAATAAAAAAAAAATTGGTATCCAACAGTAATAATAACATTCCGTTTGGTGCTAAACTGCGCTAGATTAAGAAAGACTTTTTTTTTCCTCTGTTCGGGACCTAACACTACTGCGACCAGTAAATTGATCTATTGTAGTATATCCCGTGTCCTTAGTTTAGTGCATGTCGTATTACTCCATCACTATTGAGAAATGATGAAGTATTCGATTTTTTTACAGTTGCCACTCTTGCATTTATCGCAAGGTTCCGACTCTAATTGAAAGGTCCCGCTATTTATACCCTTCGGAGTGTTGAAACACCCTCCAAAGGCGCGCCCCTTTGTCAGTCAAAATTGGATTCCTTAGCAACAAAATTAAGGTATGACACCGGTAATGACCATGCATCAGAACCCTAGTCTTAACCACTTCAAACTAGGGAACAACGGATAGAAGATTAGGAATCACATAGATGAAGATAACTAACTCATTTTTTGCCTTGTTTCAAGATCATCCTTGGTAGACAAAGCCGAGTCTTGTCACTATCAACAAGGCATAAAAAGTAACAAGGACTAAGATGTGTTCCTTGGATTACTGAAAAATCCTGTTCCCCTAGTTTGAAGTAGTCGGGACTAGGAATCGGTGGTAGATCTTACATCCCGTAACGTACCACGAAAAGGTGATCTACCCACGTTACGGGGCGACTAAGAAAGACGAAAGGCGAAAGACTAAGTGCGGGTTGTGTTTAATAGGCCGAAAATGGGGTAGTTAACCCTACGTTGGCTTTTTATTCTATGTCACGTATTGAAATAATTAACACTGTATAAACTTTCCCGCCCAGGAATGGGCGATGTCGATGCGATTTTTACAGAATCGATTTTTTTGCCTCGAAAAATCGATTTTTTTCATCCGATCTTTTTCTGTTCGATGTTTGACAGAATCGATTTTTCAAAGTTGATATCGATTTTTTACTCATTTAAACTTTTTTATAAAGCATTTTAAAAAAACAAAACGCCTAAATTACCAAAGAGAAAATAAAATCGCTGAACTCTTTTTATGTTGTTGTTGATTATGTTGAATCAAATGTTATCATTGAATTCTTGAAAAAATGATAAACAAAATGGTATTTCACTATCCCAAAAATATGTTTTTATTTAAAATCAAGCGATTTTAATTTCATCGTCCTCAAATTTTGCTAAACACCCTTCCAATCTTGGGCTTGATTTATTTGTTACTTTTTATGTTGTGTGTACTTTGGACCCATTCTTTCTAATTCATCCAGCTGATTTTGTTTGCAAAAAAAAAACACGCACTCCTTGATGCAAAAAAACATTGGAAAGGTGAGTTTTAATACCTACACACTAAGATTATTTAACAGATTTCTGTAAAATTTTACCGAAATCTCAACAGCTGAACGTTCGGTAAACAATTTTACAGTTTTCCTGTAATTATTTACAGATATCTGTGAAAAAATCACAGATAATTGTGAAACATTACAGGAAATCTGCGAAACTGTTTACCGAACGTTCAGCTGTTGAGATTTCGGTAAAATTTTACAGATTTCTTTAAAAATTTCTAAGTGTGTACAGAAGATTTTGAAAGCTCAGATATAGAGTTGAAGTTGAATAACACACTTAGAAAAAATCATGTAAATTTAGGTGCTCTGAGCCTGACATATACGAGCGTCAATTTTGACATAAAATTGTGTCATAATAGACGTGAAATTCAACTCAATAAAACGTATTTTTCGTCGAGTAACGAACTTTTCTGTCTCGAAGCATTTAATTTTACATTACATGTTTGTTTGCGTCTAATCTTTTATGTCAAAGATGGATTCCGTCACATGTAAAATTAGGTATTTCTAACTGTGAAGCTAAATATTCGCAATATTTCTTAATAATTCGGTTTCAATATTTAAATAGAGTGCAATTGCTTTTGTGAATTGGTTTTATACAAATAAATGCTCACACACATACACTAAAACAACAGGAAGAGGAATATTTCGTCTAATAGAAGATTATAAAGCATAATTCAAATATTTAAAAAATCGATTTTACTCGAATCGATTTTTTTTCTTTCGATATTTTAGAGGATCGATTTTATAGTCAGTTTTAGAATCGATTCGACAACATCGATTTTTCGTTTCAAAACGCCCATTCCCAGAGTACGGCTCAGATTGGAATATCTCTTCTTTATTTTATTTCGATGAGAGAAGGTATACAATGTGGTGAGTATACTCTACACTGAACTGAATCTCGTAATTGATTTCAACTGATTCGAAGTTAAAGAATTATCATTTTATAAAACACTACAATTTCCCCTCCTTAAAGACAATTCATTCCTGAATTAGTAAATTGGTATAAACTCTTCAGATAGCAACATCTCAATAATTTCAATTGAATTCGATATCAACTTAATTACAAACATTTGAATTCTTCTGATAGCAACACTGTGCAACATTTCAATAAATGCACATCATGCAGGACTAAATTACTTTTTAAAATTCATCTGAACTTTCGTATGTAGACAATGCTGCTTTAGATCGAGTAATGATCGGACTCCTTGTTTGCGCGAGCTTCTTACTAGGACGTTTCACATCTTCCTCGATCAATGGTATATCCGGAAATGCTAGGAAATCGCTTTCGTCTTCAAGTGAATCTCGATTGCGTTTACTAGTTGCTTTTCTCAAGGTGACGTACACCTTCGACCGTTGCTTGGGAACATACATCATCTTCAATTGGTGCTTGTGCTCCGTCGTAATGTGGGTACCAACCGAAATCTGCAAAACATTTTTGGAAATCTTTTTAATGAATTTTGCATTTAACCATTTGGGTATAGCATTTTTATATATATTTCTATACAGTAGCATATCCCCTGCCACAAGCTTGTCAAAATCATCTGATGTATTAGTTACGTCATCACTAGAAGTTATAATCCTTGTTGGAGATTTGTCTAAATATTCCTTATATGAATTTGTTGGATTAAGCTAATCCAATAGCATCTTTGGTTGATATGCGAATATTCTTTCCCAAGGGAACATCCCATCCTCGAGGCCAAATTGCAAAGAAGGATTTAAGAGTGA